TTGGGCCGGGCACTCATACAGACACACATACATTCCACTTTCATCATTTCACATGCGCATAGGTAGACATAAAAAGGGACAAACCAACTCATTTAATTCGTCTTTTGTGCAACCAATTGACCGGTTAGTGCCCTTGATCCCTTGTAACCGTAAAGTTTCTGTCATGGGAATTTACGTTTTTCCAAGCCCCAATCTACCAGAGCCGAAAGAGGATGCTTCGAAGAGCACGAAGAAGGCAACAAATCGCTTTCTGTCGTCAAGCCCGACAGCAGATTAGCTCAGTTTTGCCTCGACTCCACCAACAGCCTCGGTCTCAACTGGCTGTTCCACACAAGCATTCAATTCAGCCAGAGACCAGTTGAAGTGGGTCTAGCTCGACAACAAACGGTTGTCAAAACGATGCGCAGGAGTCTTAGAGTCGGGTTCCAGTCGCGGCCTCAACGAAGCTCAATCGAGAGGGCAGAAGAGCACATTTTCTGTCCACCAGCGTCTGCCTGCAAGGCCTACCGATACCACCGGAAGCAGACTGTCATGGAATCGAGTTTGATGGAACCTGCCCACTCGACGTTGTCACGAACGTTGTGGCCGAAGCCGTGGGAAAAGGCCAATTCGGTTGGGCAAAGTGGACGGCAAAGACGACAACAGTCGCTATGTCGAGTAGCAAATGTCCTCGTCGGAGATGAGATAATCTGGAGGCGGAAGTGAAAGTGAGTCTGTCAGAGTCACGTGGATAGCGCAAAAGAGTGACGAGGAGATGAGGCAGACTCTGATAGGATCAGAATGAAAGGGATTTCGTATTAAAAGGCCAGTCTCAGACCAACCCTCGTGGCAGGAGGAAAGGGGGATGGGGAAATTGGCGACGATTGTGAATAGCTTTCTCTAAATCCGCTCAGAAATCGGATCAGATGATTGTTTGAGAGACCTTCATTTTGCATTGAAATGCATGAAAAGAACTTCGTATCTCCAAAAAACAAGATGTTGTCTCTTTTCGATGTAGTTGTTTGACAACTTGGTCGTATTTACAGGAAAACATAGAGGAACACTGAGATTGGTGCTGATGATGGCAAGATTGAGTGGCGATGCCGGCGAAACGTCTGGAAATGTACCAATTCCACGGTCCGACTCTGGAAGGAATCATACAAGTTGCGCTCCTAAATGTCTTCCTGCTGTCATCACCAAGCTGCCAGACCAAGGTCAACAACTACAAAAGATTCTCATATTCATGTCATCAGAAAGCGACGCTGAGTCCCGTCGTAATGCAGCCGTTCAACTTTGATACGACATTTGGACTGACGGGGTTTACGAGTTAACCTCCTTTGTTTTGGGCGAAAATGATGGGCGACGCTCAGCCCGTTTCCACCCGGAACGAGGAAGGAGGTAGAACGCATTTCATCCGTCCTCTTCTGGTGAGACCGAACTATGAATCCATTCTTCATACGAAATGCAGGTCCCCCCAACAATGTCATCTCATGAGATTGATGAAAGCACAGTTTCTCTTTGTATCCAGCCAATCCAATCACGGAATGCCTGAAAAAGTGGGAAAGTGAGCCAATAAACAAGAACATAAGCGGCGACCAGATTTGCTTTTGGTGCTTTTTGTGAAGCTTTCCACACAAATGATCCAATGCCCTCAAGCCGTGTGTGTTTAGGGCGAAATACACATTCATCGCAACAGACTTGTGGATGCAAATCAGCAATTACACGCGGCGGCAAGCTTCTTCCGGTCTCTGGTGAGGCGACCTTTTAGAACAATATGAGTTTATGTTGTTATGTACGCGTAACCATGACAAAAATGGAGACAAAAGTGGATTAAACTTAAATTGGAGACCTGCTTTTTT